TTTAAATTAATTTTTACGATCTCTTGAAATAATATTGTATTCCTCTTAAGGCTTACGGAAGCGCTTACTTTTCGGCACAAATCGAAAGACCCATTCGATCGAGTTTCGCGTCTTTGATGAGTCATTTCGACCTCAAAGTATGGGTTGCCGTCAATAGGGATGGTCTGCATCTCATATCCAAAGAGAAACCGGTCAGTCATTCAGTCATTACACCATTAAGTCGTGTCTTTGTCCTCTAAATCGATGCTTTATTACAGGAATTGTTGCTTTCGATTGATTACAACGACTTGTGTTGGGCTATAGGGTGTCCACAGGACTCTTCTGATCCCAATTGCATTCCCTGTCTTTTCATTCAAATTCCCGAAGAAAACGACAAAAACAACACTATTTTGCAGATATTCTCGCGTCAGTACAAACTCATTGAGCAGATTCTTAACTCGTTTATAGACGACGCGAAGAAGTCTTTATCTGTAGATCACGTGTCGTGTGATGTGGTTGACGGCGGAGGACCCCTTTCGGCTGAATCAGTGTCCACTCCCTTCTCGTTCGGTTCAAATTCAAAGACATTGAACCGGAAGAAGCTATCATTAGCCACATTCGACAACTCCGGTCAATGTATCAACAAAACTGGTTCATGGGTTAGATCACAGCACAGGCGGACAATCAATTGATTCACTTTTGGTAGTTTGCAGTCAACTGTATTTATACTAAAATATGATATAATTCATTGCAAATACATTAATTTATACGGTAAAGTACATAGAATCTATAATTGTGTTTAAAATTATTATAAAATGTATTAATTTTAATAAACTTTAAATTAAGTATAAACGCTTTTATTGTGATTATATTGAATGCCTTTAATCGATGATCTAATTTGAATCCAAATGAAGTCATCGTTGTTTTCAACGATACTTTCTTTGGTGTGATTGTCATTAAGTGATAGTACTTGTGATAACTCTTCGCTTAACTCTGTGTCCAACTTTCTATCCACTTCTTGAGCCTCAGTTTCGTCTAATATTTCAAATGATTTGTCTGAAAGTGGAGTACAATTGCATTGTTTTTGTTTGAGAATCAGTTTAAATCTGTTCCCAAATTTGGGTACTTTATAGTCCACATGAGGGGTGAACAGTGGCTCAGAGTGATCGCCCATTTGATCCGTTTGGTGACACTGAACCTCGTGGTCCATCACTTGTTTGGCGTAGCAT